GGGAAATGGGGTGGCAATCACACTTTAATAAGGCACAGAGACAAGCAGTGAAAAGTGGGGAGAGATACAAAAGCAGGCAACATGGGGACAGGGGATGGGATGGTGAAGGAAGGCAAGAAACATGGGGAAAAGGGTGAGGAGATGGAGAGGCAGAAAGTATCACTTATGAAACCATGGATTAGAAGTGGGAGCACTAGGAAGCATGAACCAAATGGAGATGGAGGGCTCAGGGGCAGGAACTTGTGGTTTCATTTTTATAGAGTTCATTGGGAAAATAGACCAACTCTTATCTGTGTCCCCTTGGGGTTAGTTAATTACATATCCAAATCATCTCAAAGTTATGACTAAAACTACAAAGTCATCATCCCAAAGTTATCATCATCTTTTTGATGTTCTGTTGGTCTAGAGCTGGGAAGGTCTGGATTTTGTCTGGAATTTCTCTGAAACCAGTATCTAGTTGGTTTCCCTTGATTCAGCATGTATTAGCAGGATGTGAATTTTACTTAATATATGATGCAATTTGTAAATTATGCTCCTTTGATCTTTGGGCCAATTTGTACGTGACTTCCAGGTTCCCCTTTGCAATCTTGTTGTTGTTATTTCTCACTAAAACTTATTATACTGACTAGAATGGGGCGGGGGACAGGGAGCAGAGCAAGATACAACTTTATTTTATTTTAGTTTTAGTTTTCAACATTTGCTTTTATAAGATTTTGAGTTCTAAATTCCACCCCCTCCCCAAGATAACATGCAATCTGATATAGATATCAATGTATGATTATATTAAGCATATTTCCACATTAGTCATATTGTGAAAGAATCAGAACAAAAAGCAAAAACCATGAGAAAGAAAAAACAAAAACAAAATAAAAGAAAGAGAAAATAGTATGCTTTGATCTGCATTCAGACTTCATAGTTCTTTCTCTGGATGTCGACAGTATTTTCCATCATAAGTCTTTTGGAATTGTCTTAAATCAAGATACAATTTTAACACAGAGACCTTTCCAGGTTGTCTCACACCCAACTTCCTCCCAATGCTTTCCCTCTAAGATAGCCTTCTACCTATTTTCCTCTGTTCTTATTCCATGGTAGAGGAAGGGGGTGCAGTAGGGCACTGGGTCCAGCCTTGCCATTTAACTCCAACACCATTTCCAGTTCCTTTCCTGGAGAAGTTGACTCAACTTGTCCTTTAATTTCAAACTTGCAGCTCAAGGAGCCTAAGTGTGACATAGATTAAAACACACACCCCCCCCCCCCACACACACAAATTTGGTGGAGTTCTAATCCCTGCTCCTTTGGGTAGGCATTGTTATGATGTGGAAAGAGCACTGAACTTGAAGTGAGGGCACCAGTGTTCAAAGCTGAGCTCTGCCACCAGACAGAGCTGACCTTATCCTCTTTGGACCTAGGTAAACAAGCATGGTATGACTGGATGACCTCTAATGTCCACTCTAATTCTAGATGTAGAATCCTACGAGCATCTGGAAACACACTAACTCCAGGAAATAGAACCTTTAATATCAGTCAATGATTTTTAGAAGTAACAGCTTTCCTGTGGGATGGTGGGTTCTTGGAGGGTCAGCAAGGTCAAGAGCCAAAAATCTGAGGTCTAGAGTCAGAGCATGTGCAGTTCATCTTGGTTCTGCTAATTACCGGCTTTGTGACTTTGGACATATCTGCTTCCCTTCTCAAGGCCTCAGTTTTCTCACTTGTAAAATGAGGAATTTGGAGAAGATATCTCTAGGGTCCTGTCCAGCTCTAAATGCTGTGAGCTGTTTCATGTTGGTGGTCGGTAGACACTGTTTCAAAAGGACAGTTCTGTCTTTGTCTTAGAATAAGCCTAGGCAGGGAAACTGCAGTCCTAGGTTTAACACTAGAGTTCCAGCATTCTGAGTAAAGAAAACACCAATGGGAAGGAAAAAAAAAATCTGCTCTTCATGCTCCCCATGAATGAGTCTCCTTGGGCTTGAAGACTTTCTGAGACTCAGCTGTTTTACACAAATATTTATAGTTTGTGACTATTTATAGCTAAATAAATGAAGAACTTTTTTTAACTACTCCCTCTTACTCTTCATGAGATTGCTTTGTTTGCTAATTCATTCCCTTTTACTTTGCCTATTTTATATCCATAGTTAGTGTACCCTATCCTGGTTTTGCTTTTTTTCATTTTGCATTATTTTCGGATTTCTTGGCAGTCTTCATGCTTGTTGATCTTAATTTATGGAAGCATTTGGCAATTTCATAAACAACCACTTGTCAACAAACCAGATCAGGATAAGGCGTATTCTGTCAGGTCTATGGCCTTGGCCTCAATTTTTTTTTCACTAGTGGGGATCCTTTACCTACTTTGTGGGCTTGCCTTTAATCCACAGAGCCAGATTAAATGGTCTCCCTTAGAATGGGGCCCAGAGTTTGGTTCTGGGTATAAGCACTGCCATCAATGGGGATCAATGAATGAAATCTTCCATATCCGTGGTCACCGTAACCATCATTTGAATGGGTCTGTCATCCAATAGCATGGTGCCATCCTACAAATATTAGGGATAAGTGCAAGAAACCACTGAGGATCCTGTGAACCTGATCATTCTGAGGCAAAGGGAAGCAAATTGGCCAGACCTGGTCATTCTTGATGGAAAGAACATCACTGACTCTGTCACTGACATTACTGTGACTTTTAAGGGACTCAGCTCTTGAATCAGTGGGACCCGGCAAAATTGCAAAACATCAGATACTGTGGCAGCATCTGGATCAGGAAAGCTATAGAGTATACAGTAACTCAGTGATGGTGGGGGCTCTGGAAGGTTGGGATCTGGGCAGCAACTCTGTTGTACAGACTAAAAATCAGCCAGCAGTGTGGAAATCTCATGAGAAAATTAATGGTTCAGGATACAATCAAGTGTGTACGCACAAGCACATCACCTGTGTAAGACAGTACACAGAATAAATATAAATGAAGGTGGATAAATCTCTTTGCTCTTTTTTGTCCTATTACATTTTTTGCCAAGGAGCTGTGGCTTCCTTAGTGCAGACAATTCTTGGTGTGGGAACTCCCTGTACCAACCCAGGGTCAACCTGTTTGGGAATAAGCAACTCCTGGAAAATTGTTTGAGAGATTAAGTGACTTACCTGAGCTTACACAGCTAGTATATGTCCGAAGGATTTGACCCCCACCTTCCTAAAGCTGAGCCTCTCTCAATCCACTGTATCACACTTTTAGTCTTTACTCCCATTATATCCATCACATTAACGAACCATAATTTATTTAACCATTCCATTACTATTGGACAGTTAATTTGCTTCCAGGTTTTAAAATTACAAATAAATATTTTTAAATGTTTAAATAAATAAATATACAAATAAAATATTTTAATAGATAGCTCTTTTTAAAAATAACATTCTCAGGGCCATGATTGTGTTTGTAACTTTGACTTCATACTGCTTTACAAAAAAAAAAAAATCTGCTAATTTGCAATTCTACTAGCAATGAATGAATATTGTTTCTCCACAACCCTGCCAACCTTGAATGTTATTGCTTTTAATTTTTTTTGCCATTTTTATAGGTAAGAGGTATTATCTTAAAGTTGTTTTACTTTTTATTTCTTGTTTATTAGTTAGACTGAGCATTTTTCAAGTAATTATTAATGATTTGATTTTCCTCTTTTAAAAATGATCTCTTAATATTTTTTGACCTTTTATCCATTGTGGACTGAAAGTTACCTTTTTAAATTATTAGTGGTTTTAGTTGATTTTTGTGTTTATCTTTTTATCTATCACATTTACCATGCATATTTTCTTAATCTGTTTTGCTCTTGATTACATTGCTTTTTTGGAGAATGGAATTTATTTTGATGTAGTTAAGAACATGTCTTTAATGATTTCTTCTTTTTATTTAGTAGGAAAAAGTCCTCTCCCCTCCATAACTGAAGTAAATTCCTTATTCCGTTTTCTTCCATCTTATTTGCAGTACATTGTTGATGTTTGAGTCTATCCTCTGGCAGAAATTGACTGAGTTTCATTTTTGCCTTTCTTTGTATTCTCAGTACTTAGCCTGGTGCCTGTCCTAAATAAGTGCTTAGCAAAGGCTTGTTGACTGGCATCTTGACTGAGGTATGTGATTTAAGCATTGTGTCTAAATCAGTTTCCTGTCAAATTGCTAACTGACTTTCTCAGTACCTTTATTAAATAATGAATTCTTTCATCAATTTTTATTTACTATAGATTTATCAAACACCCATCTTATATATCTGGTATTGCAGTCCTACTTCAGCTTTTTTTTTTTCAGGATACCCCTTGATATTCTTGCCTATTTGTTTTCCCACATAAATTTCAATATTATTTGATTCAATTCCATGAAAGAACCCTTACCTTGGTGTTTTGATTAGTATTAAATTAGATATGTAAATTAATTTGGGAGAACATTGTCATTTTTATACAGATATTAACACATTAACATATGTTGTCGGAAACTTAAGTTCAGCACCTAACACAATTTTTAAGAGTAGAAATGATTTTTATCTTCTTTAAAAATAATTTTAATGCATTTTATAGATGTCTTTTGTTTTCTGTTTCACCACACTTTTCCTTAGTATCTTCCTCTCTTCCCCTCCAAGAGAATAATTCCATAAATAAATAGTATTTTTTAAAGGCAAAAACAAGAGGAAAAAATAATCATAACTGACTAATATATCAAAAAGTCTGAAAATACATATAATATGCACTCGTGGACCTCCCACCTCTATAAAGAGGTGGGGTTGGGGTGCCTTCTCATCTCTCTCTCTCTCTCTCCCTCTCTCCCCCTCTCTCTTTCTCTCTCAGCTTATTCTTTGCAACATTCACTAATTTAAAAAAAATTTTTTTTATTTTAAGTTCCAAATTCTCTTTCTCCCTCCACTCCCTTCCCCATCCATTGAGAAGGCATCATCCATAAGACATCATACATATTTCTCCATTAGCCATATTCCAAACCAAGAGTCCTAACGCTGATGCTTTGCCTCCTGTAGATCTCCCAGAGAAAGGGTCCTGGCAGCAGCTGGAAGTCTTCCTACCTGCTCATTCTTTCCCCAGAGAAGCCTGAGTTTCAGTGAGGATGGAATCGCTCGAGACAGCAAGTAACTTGAGGCTAGTACGGGGAATCACAAGCCCTATGAACACCTCTCCCCACCCCCACACACGCCTGGGTCTGATTTCTGGCCCCAGCCTGATTGGGACGGGGCTCTGGGCCAACCAGCAACCAGTTCCTCAGCCTCCCTAGCCATCCCTCCTTCCTGCTAGTCTCTGCCACATATGAGGGGTTAGATGACTTTTCAGGGTCACAAAAGGGAATTAAATCCTGAAACCGATGGAGCAGCCGCAGCATCCTTAAAGACTCTAATTCTGGTCCTCTTCCCTCCTACCCCCCCTTTTTTTTTCAGCCTCCAACAAGCTGAACTCCGACTCTGGCACGTCATACTGATCGAAGTGATTGCCCTCCTTCTTCAGGCGGTTCTCCTCTTAATCCTGTACATTTTACTCCGTAGGCAAATAGGTAATTTTCAACAAAAGCAACTTATGTATCCCTGCGCCCCGGGCAGAACTTAAGATACTTGGTATCCAGCAATCTCAACCTTGATTTGAACACTTGCTAAGTCGGGAACAGAGTCCCCGAGTGTCTCAAGACCTAGGCACCATATACATTGACCACACTCTCCAAAGGGCCCCTCAGAAAAAAACTTGCACCATTGCAGGGCCCTGACACAATTTCCCCTGTTCCCACACATTAGAAGTGAATTCTATTAGAGGAGTGGTGTTGCACAGAGACCACCCTGAACAGAGATACTCATAACTTATCTTCCAAAGAGTGCTATGGAGGCAGTTATACCTCACATCTCTCCAAGACGTTAAGGTGAGGCTTAGGGATGGTTACAGTAAGATGTGATCCCCTGGGGAGGAAATGACCTGGATGTACATTTTTTTTTTAGGTAACTGGGGTTAAGTGACTTGCCCAGGGTCACACAGCTAGTAAGTGTCATGTGTTTGGTCTGAGGCCACATTTGAATTCAGGTCTTCCTGACTTCAGGGCCGGTGCTCTAGCCACTGTGCCACCTAGTTGCCCCTGAGGAAATGACCTGGAACAAAGCCCTGTTTGCCCTGTACTAACTAGTTCCAGCTTTCCCTTATAGTTAGGAAGCTCTCTCTAAATGCTTTATCTCCTTACCTGGGCTACAGTCTCCATTTGAAATAGTGCCACTCCATGTCTTTCTACCATTCAGACTCTCTGCTTGGGGACAAATAATCAAAAGGGATCAAAATAGTACCTATAAAAAGCAGAAATGTTAAATGTATTCCTTTACTGACCACAACACAATAAAAATTATAATCAGTAAGGGAAATATGAAAAAGAGATTCATATTTAAATGCCAACCAAATAATATAAGTCTAAAGAATGTGTGGGTCAAACAACTAATCACTGAACTAATAGGTAGTTTTATCAGAGAAAATGATAACTATAAGGCATACCAAAACTTGTGAGGCACAAACTTAGCAGTCCTTAGGGAAAAACTCTGAGCACTTTCCATCAATAAAAGAGATCAATGAATTGGGCCTGCAACTAAAAAAACAAAACAAACAAACAAAAAAAAACTAGAAAAGCAACAAAACAAAATATCTCAAATAAACCCACACACTCACAATTCTGAAAATCTTGAAGAGATAAAGAAAATTGAAAACCAGTCTATTGCAATTACAAATAATAAGACCAATAAAACAGACAACCCAGTAATTAATTTGATCTAAAAAAAGGAAGGGCAGCTAGGTGGTGCAGTGAATAGAGAACTAGGCCTGAAGTCAGGAGGATCTGAGTTCAAACCAGGGCTCAGACACTTATTAGCTGTGTGACCCTGGGCAAGTCATTTAACCCCTATTTGCTCAGTTTCTCATCTGTAAAATGGGGACACATTGGAGGAAGAAATGGTAAACCACTCCCGCCTCTTTGCCAAGAAAACCCTACTTTGTTCATGGAGTCACAAAGAGTTGGACGTGACAAACAACAACAGAAGAAGAAAGGAAACAAATACACAAATAAAAATGAAAGAAAAAAAGAAGAAATGATAAAAGATGAAATAAAGGAGACCATTAGAAACTATTTTGCCCAGTTATATGCTAATACAATTCAAAATTTAAAAGAAATAAATGAATATTTACAAAAATGTAAAATATCTAGGTAAACAGAATAAGATATAGAGACAAAAAAATCCGATCTCAGAAAAAGAAAATTTTAAAGCCCAATAAACTCCCAAAGAAAATAGTACCTGTGAGGAAAGAATGAAGGAGCTGCTTTTGTTTAGCCTGCTATTTTTCTCATCTCCTGAATGGACTAAATGTTAACTGAGAGATGGACTCGAGTTGAACAAGAGAGTGTATGTGTCTACTGTAAATAACACAGGCGACTAATGGGCTACAGGAGATTGTAGAAACACCAATAGAGTAAATCTGCTTAACTGGTTTAGATATCTAGTCTCTTGAAGGTAGGAGGTGAAATGATATGACCTCTAGAGAACCCCTCTAAATAACTATAGTTTTCTAGTGCTCTAATGAAAGCATTTGGGCAGATATTGGATAGAAACAGGAAAAGTCTAAGTTTAGATCTTAATCACCAAACGTTTCCTCTTTAGCCAACTACTATTGCCAAACGGTGAAAGCTGTAAGTGTCCAGGCCCAGACCCAGGCACCAAAGAAGCCAGAAGGCAATCATGATCTATCTGCTTTGAAAAAGACAGGGTCTAAGAGGAATGTTCCAGGTCCTGCCCTGTCTTATAAGGGTGAGTAATCATACCTTGCTTTGAGATCATTAAAGGCACTACTGTTCCCCCTGGAGACCTTGGAAGGGGTAGCCCCTTGTTTAACCTCCCTGAATCAGACCTTCTCCAACTCAGAAGAGTTCTCATTGATTCTTTACATTTTCTCAGAAGCTAAGTCCTTCCTCGATTTCATTTATGTCATCTTGCCTTATGTGTTACAGTAGTGTGCCAATGTCTCTTTCCTTCTTCCTTTCTTTCCTTCTTTCTTTCTCTTTCTTTCTTTCTTTCATCTTTTCTTCCTTTTCCTTCATTCCTACTTTCCTTCTTTCCTTTCTCTTTCTTCCTTCTTTCCCCTTCCTTTCTTCCTTCCTCCCTCCCTTTCTTTCTTTCTTTCTCTTCATTCCTACTTTCCTTCATTTCTTTCATTTCCTTCCTTTCTTTTTTCCTCCCTTCCTTCCCTCCCTTCCTTCCTTCCTCTCTCTTTCTTTTTCTCTCTCCATTCCTCCCTTCCTTCCTCCCTTCTTTACTCTTTCTTTCTTCCTTCCTCCCTCCTTTCCTTCCTTCCTTCTTTCTTTTATATGCTTTGTTTTACTCCAAAGAAAGTATATGACACAAAAAACTCCAATCCAAGCTCACAGACAATCAAAACAACTCTCCTCCTCTCTCTATACTTACAGTACTATCCTAAAGTACTATCCTTCTATCTTCTCCAACACGCAGCCTCCCACTATTGTCCTCCCTACTCTAATCTTCAATTTGTCCCTATCTACTGCTTCCTTCCCTGCAGCCTACTAAAAGTTCTGTCTCTTATAATCTTTTTAAAAAACATTTGATTTTTACCAATTACATGTAAAATTAATTTAAAGTTCATTTAAAAAAATTAAGTTCCAAATTCTCTCTCTCCTTCCCTTCTTTCCCCCCTCATTGAGAAGGCAATCAGTTTGATAGAGGTTATATATGTGCAGTTGTGCAAAACATATTTCCATATTAATCATGTTGTGAGAGAAAAAAAACACAGACCCCCCCAAAAAAACCCAACAAACCAAGAAAAATAGAAGAAAAATAAAGAAAGTTTAAAAAAAAAGTGTGCTTCAATCTGCATTCAGACTTCATCAGTTCTTTCTCTGCGAATGGATAGCATTTTTCATCATAAGTCTTTCAGAGTTGTCTTAGATCATTAGATTGCTAAGAATAGTTAAGTCTATCATAGTTGGAAAAGATGGAGAGATCTGGGCTAGAAGATAAGGCAATTAGGTGGGCTCAGAACTGGCTGAGTGGTAGGATTCAAAGAAGAGTCCTTGCTTGGTTCTATGACAGCTTGGCAAGAGGTCTCTCCAATGGAGTGTTCCAGGGAACTATGCTTGGTTCTTTGGTCTTTCACGTTCTTGATAAAAAACACAGGCACAAAGCTGAGAAGGGTAGCTATCACCCTGGGTGACAAGAGTCAGGACCTTAAAAAGGTCTTTATAGGTTAGAACACAGGGCAGAATCGAACGTGATGAAATTCACTCTAAAATTCTGTTGCTCCTTGGTTCAGTCTCTTGACTCCCGGGTCCTTTCCATTAGGCCAGGATGCCATCGACTATTTTTTTGCTCTAGGGCCGGTAAATTTGGTGGCATGACAGGGAAATTCAGGAACCATCTGCGTATCGAAAGGAGCTATTGCCTCTACAAATGAATGACCAGCCCTGTGTTTGCTCACTAAACACTTACTCAGCTGTCAGCTCCCTAGGTGATAATGAGTAAGCTGGACACTTAAGAGTATTATCTTTTCAGTTTCCTGGTAAGAGAAATCTGGTTATCAAAATTATTTGGCACTGAGCTGATTCTTAAATCTACTTGCTGGTTCTTGAGGCTTTACTTCGGGTAGGCAAGGGGAAGATGAGATAAGGGGATTCCTCTGAGAGACATTTTAGTCAGGGGGATTGTGCTCCAGAGGTATAAGGGAACTCAGAGTACATTGAGTTCAACTGCCTTATTTTACAGATGAAGAAACTGAGATCCAGGAGAAGTTTAGTGACTTGCCCAATGTCATCCAGGATAGTAATCATAAGAGATGGGAACTCTCATTCTCTCTCTCTGCCTTGCTGTCTCTGTCTCTCTGTGTCTCTGTCTCTCTCTCTTCCTCTCTCTCTCCCCCCCCCCCCCACCTCTTTCTCTTTCTTTTTGTCTCTGGCTCTCTGGTTCTCTCTGTGTCTCTTGCCTCTCTCTGTCTCTCTGTCTCTCTCTCTGTCTCTTTCTCCTCATCTCTATCTCCAAGTCTCTCTGATTTCCTTCAAGTGTTAGCTAAAGTCTTACCTTCTACAAGAAGCCTTTCCCAGTCCTCCCTAATCTTACTGTATTCTCTCTAATATTATCTCCAACTTACCCTGTGTATATCTTGTTCATACATATCTGTTTGCCTGTTGTCTCCCTGCTTAGACTGTGAGCTCCTTGAGAGCAGGGACTGTTCTTTGCCTTTCTTTGAATCCCCAGAGCTCAGCACACAGTTGGCACTTAATAAATGCTTGTTGACAGGCCCTCGGACCCTAGAGCCAGAGCTCTTCACATGTTGTCTCCTCTGGCTTTCCAAAGCCAAGGAACATCTGAATGTTTGTCAGCAATCTCCAGGAACAGGACAAAATAGAACTAATTCACCTTTGTATATCTCTTATGACTTATAAAACAATTTCCTTACATACTCATGTGGAGTGGAAACATGAGAGACTGAGGTAAGCAACTGGAGGCTGAAGATGAGAAGCGATTTACCCAAGAACACAGAGTGAGTCAGAGTCCAACCAAACTCAACCCTAGGTCTTGTGGCTCTTAATCCAATGCCCTTTCTACCAAATCAGGCTGTCTCTTTACAAGGTTGTTTCCTCCAAGTCTGCTTCCTGGTTTAATGCCCTTTGTACTGCATTCCTGAACCTTCTGCCTGATCCTCTTCTCCTGCCACATTGATATTCTTGGAAAAGAAGCAATGTGTTAGACTGAAATGAACAGTAAACTCAAAGTCAGAAAATTTGTTTGGAGTCCATCGTAACACATATTGTGACCCTGGGCAAGCCATTTCACTTTTTGAAGACTTAGTTTTTTTGTCTGTGAAATGGGGTTAATCATAGCTGCCCTGCCAACTTTTCAGTTTTGCAAACAAAGTCTTCTGTATTGATGAGGTCTAGAGATGAGGGGTACTGGAATCCCAAAATCACAACACGAGGGTCCTATCCGAAAGAATTCGACCCAAGTCTTCATTCAGCCAAAAACAAGGTTTATTGAAGATTCACTATATTAGCCAGACTCCTAAGGAATCTGAGCATCTGTGAGCTATTGGTTAGATTGTGAAAATCTGAGCAGTGGCTAGATTATAAGAATCAGAGTATATTAATGGAGACAAGATGGACTTTATATACAGAAAGACTGTGAGAGGGATCTAGGAGTGGCCAAGTAGTCTATGAGGTAATAGAACTCCAGGGAAGGTTAAGGGAGAATGGAGCTTTGATAGGATTAAGGGTAGGAAGTGGTGGTGGTGGGGACCCCCACATATGGAGGTCTAGGCTAGGTTAAGGGTAACAGATTGGGCATAGCCACAATGAAAGGCCAGTTGATGGGATTATAGCCTCAGGGGAATGCCAGAGATTTGGTCATGTGGGAAAGTCCAGGGTTTTTCCTTTTTGGGTCTAGATCTCATCCTCATCAGTATCAGGGGTGTGCTGGAGCAAGCTTGAGCTGATGATTAAGTTTTCAGTGTGAGCCTTTAAACTTCAGAAATCCCACTTGGAAAACAGGATCTATTTATCATTTTGTCCATTGTCTAGATTTATGAAATTGATGGAGAAAATGTTAATATGCGGATTAAACTTAAAATTGTGTAGTGGGTACATTTCCCCCCCATTGTCAGTTATTAAATATTTACCAGCATTCCGCTGTTTGTAGACCTTTAAGATGGGCAGCGAGGTGGTGCCAAAGTGCATAGAGCACTAGGCCTGGAGTCAGAAAGACCTGATTTCAAATGTGACCTCAAACATTTACTAGCTATGTGACCTTGGGCAAGTCACTTAACTTTTATTGCCTCCATCAAAAAAACAAACAAAAAACCCTTAAAGAGCCTATAACTTGAGCTATTGTTATTATTATCATTATTATGATTATTTTTCTGTCTACAGGATTCAATCAGCCATTTGACCCATAGCCCAGATGGTATAATTGAAACTTTTGGCTTTCTTAAGACAGAAGAGGATATCTGTGACCAGACCCTGAGAACCTGAGTTTGAATCCTTGTTCTACTATTTCTTATGTGATGTTGGGCTGATCGCTTTCCCTTTGCACCTCAGTTTACCCCTCTCTTAATGTAGGGGATTGAACTGGATGGTCTCTAGTCCCAAATGGGATCCCAGTTTTGAATCCAGTGCCCAACAACAAGAGTCTGTTGTCTTCTCACCATGCTTTCTCCTTCTGTTCTTGTCTCTTTCTCTACTGTCATTCTCCCTCTTGCTCTCTCTGTCTCTGTGACCCTGTCTCTCTATCTCTTTCTCTAATTCTCCCTCTATCCTTCACTGTCATTGCTTCCAAGTCACCACCCTCCATTCCCTCCCATTTTTATCATGTTTTCACCTTCCGTTTTATCACCAGCACTTGGGGCGTAGGAAGTGTTTCATCAATATGTGTTGATTGATTTTCCCCTGATAGAAGAATGGTTTATGGGGTCCTCTGTAAACTGAGAGAGTTGGCCCAGATAATCTCTAAGCTCCTATGCAATTCTGATGTGCTCTAATCCTATGACATCCTTCTCTCCCCTAGATGATAGTGGCAGTGACAGTGATTCCTCCTCACATAGCTCTGACAGTTCAGAAAGATATCCTCCAGCTTCCAACAGAAAGGTAAGGGGGTCTTCCAGGGGCCAAAGCAAGCACCTGGCATGAGAAACAGATATCTCAGGGTGAAATGACCAAGGAAGTAGGAGCAGGGGGCAGGAAAGAAAAGATAGTAAATCAGCCAACTTTCTATTGGATGTGAGTGGTTTGAACAGAAAGAGATATGAGGTAAAGTGAGGTCTGAGTTGACTACCAAAATGAATGTGCTAATGAGGAGACCACAGTCCTGCTTTCTTGGGTACAGTCAGGCCTGTAATTCTGGTCTCACAGGAAGATGAGTTCCTGGGCTTCTCCCTACCCAATCTGTGAACCACCATTACTGTCCACCCCTGTTCACATACCACTTAAATGAAACACAGTTATCCCTTCCACATTGCAACTTTCCCCACGGAGGTTCGATATCTCTCCAGTGAGCATAAGAAATTAAATGAGAATTTGGGGGGAGTTTTGTGAAAGCCACAGATGACACACAGAGACCGGCAGAAAACACAGAGTCTATGACCAAATACTAAAGCCAAATTTTACAGTAAGGTGCTGTAAATATCCAATAAAAGAAAAAGAAAAAATTCACATTTCTTGTCTGGTATAAAGGGAGGGACAAAAAATTTATGTGGATTTGCCAGATCGCGCCACAGTACCCCTCGAAGTGGAACTGTGGTATGGGTTTCAGCATCTTTTTCACTGAATAATTATCCCATTTCCCCTACCCTATATAAGCTAAGAGAGAAAAATTTTGTGCTAAGGTTTACCCATCCTCCCCATCCACAATGGGAGATGGATTTTGGCTCCTGATTTTCTGCCTCCTTTCTTGTGTTCCTAGGCACTCAATGATATGAATTACAGCACCCTGGTCTTTCCAGCCTCTGTTTCCCGAATGACTTTGTCTCTTGATGACTATGAGAACATAAAGGCAGCTGGTGATTATGTCAATGTGGACCCCAAGAATCGTATGAATAATGCCTGGAATTTCAGTAACTCCTTCTCTTCTGAGCCAGTGGAGTACACAGAAGTGGCTATGTGAATTCTGACAACCAAGTGGGGCTCCCTTCTGTGTGAATTCTTGGGTTTGAGTTGGAAGGGGTTTTTTTCGCTAATAAACACAAAGAAACCACTTAGAGCAAGAAGGATTCAGGTTAGAGGCCAGATAGAACCGTCAAGATGCTAAGACATGGAACATTTTATTAAAGGTGTTAGAATCCATTCCATTCAATTCAAGAAGCATTCATTAAGTGCCTACTATGTACAGAAAACCACACTGAGTACTGGGATTTCACAGTCCTTAGGAAGCCTAAGCTCTATTGGGGAATATAATATGTGCATCAATAACTATGCTAGACAATAACATTGCTTGTTAAGACAGGTCAGGCTGAGAAAAAAAAAAGAGAGAGAGAGAGAGATAAACACATAGGAAAGAAACAAAAGAGGGCCACTGAGGCTTTTTTTTTTAATACAAAAAAGAGAATAGAAGGAAGCCCAGAAAGGAGCATAGACAAGTAGGACAGTTTTGAAAGTTGCAGGTTGAATTTATTGCATGCTGAAAAAAGAAAGTGAGCTCTGCAGAGTAGAGATTCATGGTTCTGTGTCCCTACTTCTTTTTCTATTCTAATATACATATACGTGTGTATGTATGTGTATATCTATAAATGCACACACACATATATATATAATGAAAGTGTCTGTTTTAATTTTTGTTTGCTAAATTCAAAATAAAAATAAATATATAATGCTTAGATACTACATAAGTGCTTTTATCATATATTTTTAAAAGTTTTTCTCTACAGTACTAGGTGGAACAGTGTATAGAATGTTGCTCCTGGAGTCAGGAAGAACTAATGGCCTCAGATACTAACTGTGTGATCCTGGGCAAGTAACTTAGCCTCTGTCTCCTTCAGTTTTCTCATCTGTAAAATGGGGGTAATAACAACACCTACATCCCAGGGTTGCTGCGAGGATCAAATGAGATAATGTCTGTAAAGTGCTTAGCACAGTGCCTGGCACATAGTAGAGGCTATATAAATGGTAGCTGCTATTATTATTTTTATTTTTACTTATGCACTATAGGATTTTCTGCATAGGCATGTGTTATGCTTTGTCGGAGGTTTCTTTTCCCTCCGTCTATTGATATAGTTACATGGCTTTGGATATTTTTGTTTTTAACGTGATTGTGTTGTTTTTCTGTGTTAATTGTTAAACCGTCCTTGCATCTTTGAGATGGCTCCAACTAAATCATAGTGCACTGGGTTTTTTTGTGAGGGGAGGGAAGTTTGCTGTAATTTTTTGTGAGGATTTTGCAAGTTTGTAATTTTTGTTTTAATATTCACTAACGACTTTAAAAAGAAGTCAGTCAAAAGTTAGAGTTCTGGGGATATCTCGCAAAATGTGCGGTCCCCATATATGTCATAAAGACTTGAGAATATCTCACATAAAATGATTTGCCAAATGTCCCTGATGAGTACAAGGTAGGTGAATGAAGGGTGTGCCTTCTAGGGAGAATGGGCTAATGAGACTCTGGAATGGACTAGCGAAGGACTTGAAACAATTGGCAAAGTGGCTGGGAAGCTGGCCTAAGTGAAGCAGTGGGATGCCTTGGGAAAATCCTAGAATTGGAGTCAGGAGAGATCTAGGTTTGAATCATGCCTTTGTCCCTTACCAGCCATGTATCTGACCATGGGCAAGTCCCAACTTCACTGAGCCTCAGTTTCCTTTTCCTTATGATGGAGAAAAGATGTATATACAGTGCTTTGTAAACCCTAAAGCCCATTATAAATGTGAGCTATTATTAACAATAATTAAATTCCTCTCCTGAGAGCTTGGTTTTTTCAAAATGTCTTTAATGAGTATAACACTAGGAAGGATTGAAATTACTTTCCTGAGGATACAGAATTAATAAATACCTGGAGCTATTAATTAATCATTTATTAACTAAAAATATTAACAATGAACAAATCATAGCATTCTATTAATTGGCAACTACTAATAATTTATTGATGAATAAATATTAATGTTTTTATTAATTAATGAACAAGTCTAGTTGATAAATTTCAATATTTTATAAATCAACTAATATTAATTAATTATTAATTAGCAAATAGCTAATAATTTATTAATTAGACATTGATAAAGGTTAATAATGAATAAACATTGATTATTGATTAATTAATAAATAGGGCTAGGACCCTAAATGGCAAGTTAGTAAACAGTTAGACAAATGGTGCAGTGGTTAGAGTGCCTGGCTTGGAATCAGAAAGACCTAAATTCAGATTCTGCCCTGGACATTTCGCTGTGTGACCTTGGGTAAGGTCCTTCATCTCAGTCTCAGTTTTCTCTATAAAACGATCTAATTGGGTAGGCAGTGTGATAGATACATTCTGTTCTGAGAAATGAGAGCATATGTTAGGTACTAACAAAGAGCTGTCCTCAAAATAACCTTTTGAGGTAGTTAGCACTTATTACGATTTCTGGATTATTATTGGCTGTGGAGGCGGCAGAATGATGGGGGAATAGGAGAATCCCAAATGAACAAACATTGGTCAGTTCGTAACTGGAAAGGCACTTTTAGGACTATGCCGCCACCTAGTGACTGCAGGCGGAACTCCCAGCTCCAATGCTAACTCTCCCTTGTTTATCCTTCCTTTTCAAAGAGGACCATGACATCAGGGAGGTGATGCCATGACTTGCAAGTCAATTGAATTTAAGTGAGGCAGGGCTGTGCCAAGTCACCAGCCTCACTTTATCCTCCGGAGCCATCTGGGTCCAGTGGCAAGATACAGATCAGGACCTTGGAGTGGGTTGAAAGGAGGGGGAGGAGGATGAATGAGACATCTAAAATAAATGAGCTCTAATCTCTCAGAATCTCTATCCCATGTTACCATTCATGCTATTTCTATATTTTTTTTAAGGTCAGGCTAGTCTCACACTTGGTCATCAGAGTATGATTTGGGGGTGGGGTGGGGGGTTGAGTGGGAAGGAAGATGAAACCTTCTCTGCCTGCCCATCCTCTCCCCAGCAAAAATTTTCCATAACTGAAAGATGATGCCTAAAATTCCTCTAAATGGATTAAGCAGGATTAATCTGGGACACAATCTTCTCTCTACAGAGAGTTTAGGTTTAAAATGCAAATATTCCTGGGAGCTGTAATACATTCATTTAAATTCACACAATAGTTTATATCACTTAGAGGAGGGCCTTTGCAGAGTAAACTTTGATAGAGGACAGGGAGAAAGAGGAAGGCCGCCCATAAATCAGAGCTAAAACAGTAGAGAAAAGGGGCAATGGGATCACGAAAATAACCTGTTATAAGTGATAGAACTGGAAGATCATCTAATGACAGCATCTGAAAATCCCAAATTTAGAAGGGACCTCAAAGTCATCTAGTGCAACCTATGCATCATCAGGACCCCCTCTATTCTATCCCCGACAAGGAGTCATCTGGAAGGCATCATGGTGGAAGATTTCTGGTGGAGGAGGACTTACTAACCCCCTAGCATCCTATTCCACCTTGGAGAAGCTCAAAATATTTCAGAGTTGTTCTTTGCATCAAGACTAAAGCTGTCTCTCCATATCTTGTACCCAGTGCTTCTGATTCTGGCCTGTAGGATCAAGCAAAGCAAATCTAGGCCCTGTATTTCTCCTGGGCTCCAACCCTTTAAACATTTAAAGAGAGTATTTCTTCTTTTTACCTCTCCTCACTTGGCCAGCAGGACCTTATTGTCTCAAAGAAGGACAATGCCTTCCTCCCTTATTTTTGCAAATCCACCAAGTAACCAAATCAACAAGTATTTATTAATTAATTTCTATGTTTCAAGCACTGTGCTAAGAACAGAGGATAAGAAGAGAGGCAAAAACAGTCCCTGCCCTCAAGGTGCTTACATTCTAATAATGGAGGAAACAGCAAATAAGTAGGTACAGACAATACATATACAGAGAAAAATGGAAGGTACAGAGAAGGTACAGAGGTACGGAGAAGGTACAGAAGGTACAGAGAAAAAGGGGAAGGCAATAAGTTTAGGTAACATAAGAGTAAATTGTTTTTTGAATGTTTTATTGAATTCACTTTTTTTGTGATTTTTTTTAATGGGCATTTGCATATACAATAGTAAAACAGAAAGCTAGAACTATACATGAAACTTCAGACCTCTTTATTTGTAAATAGAATTCACTTGTAAATCCATACAGGCCTGGGCTTCTCTCTCTCTCTCTCTCTCTCTCTCTCTCTCTCTCTCTCTCTCTCACACACACACACACACACACACACACACACACACACACACACACCCCCTTTGGGAGTTACTTATGGTTTATTGGTTTTGTTTTTTTTCCGAGATCAGGTTATTCAAATTTTCTATTCCTATTTTGTTGATTAGGATATTTTCCGTTTCTTTAAGTAGTCATCCACTTAATGTAAGTTTTGTTGACATATAATTGGACAAAACTGCTTCTAACAATTACCTCATCATTTGTTGTGAATTCTCCTTTTTCCTTTTTTATTCTGATAACTTGATTTTCTCCTTTTTAAAAAAAATAAAATATCATTTTTTTCTTTAAACCTCCCCCCCTTCTTGACCTTCACCCTGCCAAGGCTAAACATCCCCAGTCCTTCAACATTCTTGTCTAGTAAGCCCCTCATTTGACAGATGAAGGAACTGAGGCCCAGAGGAGGAAAGACATTCTGTCTCTCTACCCCTGTATAGGTATAGCATAATGCTAGGTGAAGCCTCATTCTCTGACTCCAAATCCAGTGTTCTTTCAATAACACAACATTATCCCCTTCATAATTTTGCTGAGGAGCCATGCTAATTCTAGGCCTCACCCTGTTCTTCTCTACCCAACAGGCTCCATAAAACTAGGCACTCAAGTGAGATGCCCACCAGATCCTGACTGGGGAAGCCTCCTCAACAGTCATGATATCATAGGAAGAGCACTGGGTTTGGAATCAAAGGATCTGGGTTGGAATCTTGATCCTGTTCCTTTTGTCTTTTTACTTTCTTTTTTGAAGTTTTATTGCTACTTTTTGTTTTTACA